CCGTCTCAGTTCAAATACCTATAAAATTGGGCATTAAACAAAAGAAAATCTGTTAAATTGAACGCGCCACCTGTTCAGGCGGCCCGGCCAAGCCGCCGCGACCAGGGGGGTAAAGGTGGGTGAGGAGGAGTGGCAAATCCCGTGCGCCGACATCCTGGGTCCCGAGTGAACGATCGCAAAAGAGAGCGACAGAACACGAGAGAAAGAAAGCAACGTTGCCATGGTAAACGCGAAGAGTGAAAACTCTCAGCAATATAAACAGTGATAATTTAACGTTGTAAACTAAATTCTGAGCTATTCTAACGCTTATAAAAAGCGATAAAGTCATTACGCTGCATTAACTTCCCTTCTGTCGAAATCTCGGAAATCTGGTGGTTGCGCAGTTTCGTATTCCTCAACCGCGCCCAGCCGCGCCCCACCAGCGAAGCCGGGTATATGGTTTAGTTTAGCGTTAACGCGAGGCCGTACATCTGCGCGCTATGCAAAAAGAAGGCTTCGAAAGGAACGCGAATATCTTTCCACCGGTAAGTTCGTGGATTGTTGAAGTTCACGAAACTGCTCTGATGATGTAACCGTGTTTGGGACCCCGAGGGTCTGCCTGCATGATCCGCCGCTTGCGGCAGCCAGAATGTATGGGAAAATGGCGGACCTTTTCCTCTAGAGTTAGTATGTATGATCTCTATGGCCGCGACCTGGACTCAGCCGCCATGTTTGTTTGGTGGTGGCGCCCCCTATAGGTCGCAGGAGTCGCGAATTCCCCCGCTAAACTTACCGGTAAGATTTCCCCGCTAAATTAAGCAACAATTTCTCTGCTAAATTAAGCAACAAAATTTCTCTAATAAATTTAGCGGAAACATTTCCCCGCTAAACTTAGCAACGAAATTGCTCCGCTAAATTTAGCAACAAAATTTCTCCGCTACATTTAGCAACAAAATTGCTCCGTAAATTCAGCTAAAAAATTTACCTAAGCGGAAAAAAAAATTATTTGCTAAATATAAAAAATTACCCTCCAAATTTAGCAGAAAAATTTGTCTGCTAAATTTAGCGGAAAAATTTACCGCTGAATTTAGCGAAAAAATTTCCCCACTATATTTAGCGAAAAAAATTATCCAGTTCACCACTATATTTTTCTGAAAAATTACCACGCTAAATTTAGTGCAAAATTGTGTCTGCTATGTTTAGCGAGAAAACTTCCCCAGTATATTTAGCGGAAAAATATTCCCACTAAATTATTGGGGAATTTACCTTTCCAAAAAATGCTCCTAGGCCGCCGCCATGTTGCTGATGCTGATGTGGCATGTGCGACTCTCGCGCCCTCTATCAGCTAGAAATTTTCTGCCACTCTCTCGGACTGTGAGGACCCGCTCAGCGCGGTTCTCTACCTATGTTTTTACGGTTTTGCATTCGACGTTTTCTCGCCCCTCTTGAAAGTTTCCACTTAATTTTTTTAGGCGTGCTGCGTACCCATTTTGTGCTATCTTCCATTGTGAGAAATAAGGCTGGTAAGTGCCTGCCATTGAAGCTTTTCTGCTCGACATTCACGGAAAACGAAGGAGGAAGAGGGAGAACATTGTTCTCCCCCCTCCCAGAGATAATCCGCGTAGAATCCTCAGTCATCTCCAAAAATAGTTGTCCGGGTTGGGGTCAGTTGCGTCCGTTCCTTTACCTTGGTGCGGTTGTGAAAAGGAAGCTCTCTTCAAAACGTGATCCAAAACGAAGACATCTCGGATTCCGTCCGATCATCAAGATGTGACTGTCGTCGACTGACTGTTAGCGAGTTCGTTTCACACGCACTGGCACCGTTCGAGTTCTCTCCCAGAATGCATCGCACTCACAGAGTGTTGCACGGAAAACTGGACTCAAACGAACTCGCCAAATGCACCGAGTGCAGAAGACTGATGCTGCCGCCATCTATGTTATAGAAAAGGTACCGACTTCAAACCGAAACTAGCGCCTTTCTGTGCGGAGTGATGCGTGGGAATGCGAGAATGCAGTCGCTACCAACGTTTATCTACAAACGTTGGTCGCTGCAACCTGTAGTTTATAGTTGCGATGACTTCAAGCAGCAAGGCTGCCGTAGAGATAATTACAGACTGCGTAAATTTCCGCAACCAGCTGTCTACAAAGCAGCTGGTTGCGATCTTTCAATTCTTACAACCGTTTACACTGAAGAAAACTGATAATTCTGTCCGAGCAGAAGCTTGGTCCGTTTGAGCATGGTATTACGCGTGAACCACTAAAAGGGTACGGCTTAAAACTAGCCTGTTGGAATATCCAGCAAAACTGGGACTTTCGATTTGGATTGTCATTATAGGTGGATTAAATATTAGCCTTGGTGAGGGCGTCGAGACGCCCTCACCAAGGCTAATATCGAGAGCTTTCTCGAACAAAATACGACGGGGCAAGTTAGCTGACGTAGGTAAATGTTAAACATGATGATGTTGCCCAATCCTCGTGTAAAGTCTCCATTTTTAGCTTTCTCTGATGCTTATTGGGCAGTCAGAGGTTTCTGCAGGGGGAGTTTTGTCGACAAATGTTAAATTTTTCACCCGCACACGGATGGTGATAGACATCTCGGGGGCCGCTGTTGCGTTTGTTCTGTGCATTTCTTTACACACTGCTATATTTCAGCGTTTGTACGGCAGCAGAGCGATTTAAAACCTGCAAATAAATCACGGGTCGTCAATTGCTTCCTTCGTGAAATAGCAGACGCTCACAATTCAACCTCGCGTTTGATTTCGTTGCCCGCGGGACGCGATTTCTATCAGAAAATCCACTTTTTTTTTTTTTTTCGTTCAGTTCCGCGACACATCGTAGCAGACGAACCCTCGTCGTCTGCTCCCGCTCCTCGCCGGCCCCACCGGAGCGAGGCATGACGGGATTGCATTTTGGCGCACTCCCGATTTTCTCGGTGCAGCGAGTGCATGCACGCGTGGGGTGTCAGCGCTGAAACGAACTCGGAGAGTGCAACCACTCGTGGAGTGCCGGCCGAAACGAACCCGTTCCACGCTGCGAGTGGGCGCGCGTGGGCACGAGTGCCGTGAAACGAACTCGCTATGTGTTATTTGTAGTGATGGGACGAATCACCCGAGATTCGGATTCGGACAGATTCGGAAATTTCCGAACTTCCCGTGACGAATATTCGGCAGATTCGGAGATTCATCTGAATCGTCGCTGTGCAGGCGGCAGCATGAACCTTGTCGTAAACCTCGCGAATGCGGTCAGTTGTGCTTTTCTAGCTACTGTTACTGCATATAACCAGATTTCGTCTTGTTTATTTCAACGTATGGTATGTACTGTACTGTCATTGTAAACCCTGGCACGCGCCCAGGTCCAGCTGAGCTGATCGGTGTGGTTGACGTAGGCCTAACCATGCACGGTCTCGCTTTCTGTGCAATTTCGCGGTGATCGGTAAAATGTAGCGAAACGTTGTGTATTATACGTAATGTGGCGCAACGAAAAATAAATATATATTCAGCCAAGGAAATGATTCGTCTCCTTCTCTAGAGCTGCGTATGTCTGTACCTGTAAGGCGCGAGAGCGAGATACCGGTGGCAAAGAAAAACGTCGCACTGTCGTTTCTCCGTAAGTTTTGTATACGTAAACTTTATTTGATGAAAAAAAAAAAAAAACACAATACAGGGGTGTTTAACGCAACTTCATTGTTCGTAAACAGACACTAACTAAATCAGATAGCATGCATTAACGAAGTTTCAGATTGTTTCCCGTGTTCCGATAGCAATACCTCAGTGGATACTCGATCGTTGGAGATAATCGAATCGAACATACTCACTTGTGTGGTGTGTGCCACACTGACAGTAATCATCGGCACGAAATGTGTCTGTACCGAACAGCACTTACGGCATCGATCTCTTGCGGCGATGAAAACATGCGCTTGTATTTCCACGTGCATGCATCAAGCATGCCTATTTGGGTCGTAATCCAGAACCGAAACCAACTTTCCCGCGATGTCTGGCTACCGTTCTCGATAAACATCCAAAATGATATAAACAAAGTGGAACATTTTATTTATTACTGTGATATTATATTACAATAATCTTTCGTGTACTTTGTAGAATTTAGTGAATTTAATGTCACAAAAAAGTTGAAACACACATCAACGTGATTTAGCAACCATGAATCTTTCCGAACTTTTCCGATTCGCTTGAGATTCGGCCACTCTTCCGAATCTTTCCGAATCTGCAGATTCGGCTCCGAATCTCGATTCGGATAAAGATTCGCCCCATCACTAGTTATTTGAGATATTTCTCAAATAAATTCTATTCCGATAACGCTGCATGGTGTGGTACGTACAATATATTGTTCGAATGTTAACACTTGTCCATCGGTGAACACGTTATTTGTGAGCGTGAAAAATGCATACATTTCTGCCCTCTTCTGTTGCAATTTATTTTTGACAGCAAATCGCTTCGTCATTTCACATGCGGCGAATCCCGCGGCGCCGTCAAACCATATCGTAAAACAAAAAACACAATTTACAGGTTTTTTTTGTTTTTTCTTTTTTGTTTTTTCAAATGTGGCACAATGCTTTCTCAACGTCGTCGGGAAAATACACGTACCAGAATTTAGCCGCCAGCAGCGTTTGAAACTGCGCCTACGCAGGCTGCGCCTATAGAAATCACAGTCCACTCGGTTAGGGTTAGGAGGGACGCCGGTGAGAGTCTAGCCTCAAACTCAGTGACTGGGCTCGAGAACGGTTTGTTGCGCCTGGGGTCGAGTGTTTTTTGGAAAGGTTTAGCGGGGAATTCGGCAAGGCTTTCCCGCTAAATGGGAGGGGAGGGGGAACAGAGGCAAACCCTCCCCTCCTCTTCCTCAAGAGCTGCGCTCTAGGTCGGCATTACAGAAGATTGTAAAAGTCTCCAATTTTTTGGACGCGGTACACACACCAGTCGGAGACGCGCTCCGGCTGGCCCACCATAGCCAATCCAAGCCAAGCCGCCAATCCACCAAGTCAGCCAAGTAAGCAGCGAGCCAAGCCAGGCCAAGTAGGCACCGAGCGGACGTTGGCGACGCTTGTCCGACAGCTGAGCTGCGGAACAACGGACCACGTAGGAAGAGTCCCTTGAAAATGCCAGGTTGTTCTGTTGCCCTGTGCAAAACTCGCTCGGGAAGTGGAAAGATCCTCTACTCACTTCCTTCCGGTAAAAATAGCGTTAAACGCCGACTCATCTGGCTTTTGCGCATGGGGAGGAGCGCTCCAGCTTCCAGGAATGCGAAGGTCTGCGAGGTACTTGTGCGTTTTGTTTTGATTTCGATTGAGGGTGTGCTTCTCTTCCAAAAAGTACACTGGTCCGAGGTGTTTTTTCGAAGCGACATATTTCCGCATTTGCGTGTTTCTTGGTGTGCGGATGTTTGAGGGATGAGAAGTTGGTCGGTGCCAGTGTAAGTACGACTGCTAACACGTAAGTTTTTAGCGTTCCTGCCGCAGTAATGACTACATGTGCGCACACCGGTGCGATGTCCCGATGCACATCCAGATCAAAACGAAGAAGTACGGATTGAACAGAATGCTCCAACCGCGAGGGAAAACAATGATGTGTCGAAGGTCGATCTCTATAGTACACACAGTCACCATTTCAGGAGGCGGGGAGCATGTAAAGTTATGACTGTTGGGTTCTTCGAATCACGCGGTTCTAAGAAAATCAAACTGATTTTAATACAGAAAAACAAAATAAGAATTTCATGTATGAGTTCATGTACGTGCTAACATGTCGTGCTCAAAACCACTGATCTCTTATGATAATTTGCTGGATCGCGCATCCCCGCTTGGTCGCTGCAGCGCAGGTGCGGCCATCGTAAGTTCCGAATCGGCCATCGTGGGCCAGTGGAAATCTGCCCACTAAAGTGTTGTTGAAAGACACGTTTTCTGCTCATTTGCCGTCATTCGCCGTAGAAGTTTTTTAAAACCTTGTGCAAATGGTCTTAGTTGCCTTTGAGAACCCGTGGAAATTTTTACAAAAACGCAGCGCCGCAGAAAAATCGTGCAACTCGTCGAACGTGTCTCGCGGTCAGACGCCGTGATTGAAGGACATGCCTAGGCATGCCGAAGTGCTGCGTCATTGCACCTTCACATGCTTAGATACCGATCAAGAATCAACGCCAAGTTAACCCTTCGGGAAAAATTTGCAAGTGCAACATGCGTGAAGGTGTATATGCCTCGGGAGCAGTGCCTTACTTTACTTTGACAACTGTTACTTCGGTGACTGTATTTGTAAGTTACAACGATCCCGAGCCAGAAATGAGTTTGCTTAAGTGACGTTTGAAAACCTAACTCCCGTCCTGTGCTGCTCCACTGCGTTGCCATGTGACGTGAGTAATTTCGATCTATTCGAGTAGAAATCAAACACAGCCGTGGTTGATAGTGCATGAGAGCAATCACTTATTTTTTCCTATTTACTGATAGCAACAACTGACCAGTCACAGTAACTCACCTGAACAGATGGACGATCTGGAGCTTTGCGACCGACATGAATGCAACAAAGACATGTACGCGCGACACAACTTCAAAACTTTCCACCCTCTGCAACGCTTCACCCTGCAGATTTACACATGCCCAAGATGGCCAATTTGGAACTTCCGGTGGCCATATTCGCAGAGCGGGGAAGCACGATCCAGCAAATTGCCATAGAGATCGCTGCTCACACACAGCACTTGACAGGTTGCCATCTTAACTGACTTTTCAAGTTTTCTTTTCTTTTTTTTGGATGGATGAATGGACAGATGCTCATAGCTGTACCCTTTATAATGGGCACTAGCTTGTGCCACTTAGCCTAGAAACCAAACATAATTTTCCCTTTGCCCTTCTAAGTCAATTTGCTTCCCTTCTGCATATTTGTAACTATCACCAGGCAAAGTGGAATGTCGCCAGAATGACCTTTGGGGTATTCGGCAAAAAAACTAAAAACATCACCCCCTGCATTCTTCCCCCAATGAGAAAGTTGCCTGTTTTCCTCTGGTCAAACTTAGCCAGCGTTACCCCCCCCCCCTCCCACCGGACCTTTCGCCCATGTTCCTGGCGACTTTACAGGTGGCCATCCGCAGTTCCATTTGAATCCCCTGACGTTTGATGACAAAACTAAATTCAAAGTAGTAGCACACCAAAGCCAATGGACGGCATCATTTCGTTTAGGACTGCGAAGTTAGAGCGCTGCCATATTGAATGGGACCCCTCGGCGCATGGAGTCTGCGCCCCTTTATTCCTACTCCGACGTTCCAAGTTTCATACTTAGAGCGCAGCAACTAAACGGAGCAGGGCATACAGGGGCGCAACTCTTTGAAACTGTCGACGAGCCGCATGAACCACATCCGACCGCACCATTATGACAAACCCAACATCTTGTGAATATGGGTGGCAGAAGTTGAAATTATTTCGTGGATAAATTAATTAAGGCGTTTGTGGAACGGCAGAGTTTAAAGTAAAACAGGCACCTTGCATCTCGCCTTAAAATAAATTGTTGTGCTATCTATAGAATGGTGGTGTTCCAATAGCACATGGATTGGTTCCTTCTCGCGCTGCAAGACGGAGCCACGGAACATCTCTGACAAGTTTGACAGTTTCCTATGTCGATAAGCAAGTTCAAGAATGTTGGCTTTCATTTAAATCGGATCCAGACGCATGGTCAATAAACAGATTGGTCATTGTAAATTTCTGCATATGCACTCGAAGCGAGTCTTTAAACCTTTCAGGAATATTAAGGCATTTAAAAGAAATGAAAGATATTTACAAATTTCTGTAATGCGAAATTAGGGCGCAGCTCTTGAGGAGGAGGAAAGGAGGCTACGGAGGTCTCCCCTCCTCCTCTTCCATACCCTCCCTTCCTCCCACAGTTTCCCCGCTAAATTTAGCTGGGAAATTGACGCCATGTGACTTCAACACCAGTTTAGTTCCCCCCACTAGCGTGGAAAATGACGTCACATGACCTCAACACCAGTTCAGTTTCTTCGCTACATTTAGCGGGGAAAATGACGTCACATGACTTTGTGTCATGTCACCCACATGAACAAATTCAGTTTCTCCGTTAGGTTTAGCGGGAAAAGCGAAATCACGTGGCCTCAAAACCAATTCAATTTCCCGCTAAATTTAGTGGGGCGGTTACGGCGACACCACTATACGCGGAAATGGGCACCTAAGAGCTGCGCTCTAAGAACTTCAGAACGTCATTGTCTTTTATACTTTACTTTCTTCCATTCCTCACAGGCCTTTGAAATAATTTTGCCTTCTGCCACCCGTATCCACAAGATGCTCGGTTGGCTATAACTGTGCGGTTGGAAGTAGTTCACACGGCTCACCGACAGTTTTGATATGCCATGCTACCGCACGCTTCGCTGTATGCTATGCTCCGTTTTGTTGGTACGCTCCGAGTATGAAGCTCGGAGCATTGGAGTAGCAGCAAAGGAGCGTGTACTCAACGTGCCCATTGATGGGTTTTCAGGCTCCTGCATTTTTGCTTCTGGTTTCTTTGCACAGACGAAAGGTGTGGAATAAAATCTATAATAGTTGTTTTTTTACATTTTTATTAACCAAAACGTTGGTACAGCAACTAACAAATTTTTCTATTTGATTGTCAGTGCAGTCGGTGCTTGTGCAACATGCTGAGCTTAAACTCACTCAGGAGGCAAATCATCCCCATTTATCTTATTGTTGTTTTTCAATTAGGGCGGAACCTGTCAAGTGAGCTTGTATCAGACGGCTGGCTGATGCTTCTACTCTCTCGTGAAGGTTTTGCAGTCAAAACACGGTCAACATTACATTCCAATTCAATGCCATAAAATTACATCTTAAATTGTACATTAAATGCAGCTGAGATAGGAAAAAAAAAACCTTTTGCAAGTCTCACATTGAGGATAATTTACTGACCGACACATGTTTACCCTTTCTGCGCTATGCTTTCTCATATCTCACCAACAGGGAAATAAATTTTACAGCTGACTGACATTCAATACTCACTCATTTCGCAAGCAATAACACAAACCATACAGCAGTCAAGCAAGTAATTAGTACGCAAGGCAGGGTTCTGAAGTTTTTTCTATGTGCTGTCTATTGCACCAACAGGCCCATGGCTTAAAAGAATAAAAGAAGGATTTAATGCAACCAATGCAAAGGTGCAGCGAGCTGGTCAAGAATTATGATAATAATCCCTGGAAAAGAGGAACAAAGGGAACAAAGGATGAACACGAATTCTCCAAACACAGCTAGGTTACTGGTGTGTGACTGAAAATATTTTTCTTGTCCAGCTCACTGCAGCTTTGCATTAATCACATTAAATCATAACCCTAAAATGCAGACCGTTCATCCTTGTTGGTGTTAGACTGGTGGCAGCTGTTAAAAACCCGTTTGCTCTACTGACATCTAACTCCTGGCTAGCTCAGTTGCTAGAGCACTCCACTGGAAATGAAGAGATCCCTGGTTCGATACCACGACCAGGCGGATTTTTTCGGTCGCGCACCAGTCAACTAGTTGCGTTTGGAGATTTGTGTTTGTCCTTTGACCCCCTTGTTCCCCTTCTCCAGGGATTATTATCGTTAAAAGGAGGAAGTTTGAAATAAACCCAAATGAACATCTTCCTATGATAAGTCAAAACGTGTGTTTAGTTTACACATAGCTTAATAAAAAAACAATTGCACTATCCCTTCATCCTGACTTAACTTTCCCTTTGAGACAATCTAAACTGCAATGTAAATGGGCGTAACATCTTTTCTTTCAACATGTAATTGTTGCAGCTGTTGTTTAAAGAAATTGGTTACTTTCACTGCCCTGCAACGATTATTGTTGGTGCTGTCCATATTTTCAATAATTTATGAGATGGGATGGGAAAGAGATGGGAACCGGAGTTTCGTACCTTTCGTTTGTTGGTATTAAAAAAGGCTTGACTGCACATTTTGAGGAATTAGCAGACCCCTTGTCATAGCAGACGGCACGGCGATGACAACTATTCACATTTGAAGACTTTCTAAACACGGTGAGTTCTGTATGAAGACCAAAAGCCCTAGAAGCAAGCGGGTCAGGACGCGCTCCCACCACATTAGGTGAACCGAACAAAATTTTCTGCGCATCGCTTGCAACGGTCTTCCGAGTGTCGAGTACCAACAGGGCCAGACCCGACGAATTGGCTCAGTGGTCAGTGGCGAGAAAGCAAAAGAGAAACAAAAACTGTAAAGGCCATTTGTACCTTCGAAAACAATTCAATCTTTATTAAGCATTGCAATTTATATGAACCATACGTCTTT